AAAGAGGTTTTGCAGAGGAGGTTCAACCATGGGAGAGCAAAAGCAAAGCGCCGACTGAACCTCATTCGGAGCAAAACAATCCAATTGTTCAACACAAAAAAATCAAAAATGAACTGGTTATCGACGGTGACAACAAGAACGGCACAGGCCACAAGACAAGGAGACGAAATCGCATCAAAAACAGTCCAACGGTGTCACCAATCTCGATAAAAAATCGAGACAATAGAGTTAGACGAGCCTCACGATCAAAAGAAGACCGATATCCTAAAAGATCACAACGACAAACTGACCTACAGCGCTTTGCTAACATGGACCGCGATCAAAGGCACGACGTCGTTGCCAAGTATAAGCGACGTTCAGTCACAGACTTCTTCAAGACTTCTAGGCGCCGTTTGTAGCGACCAAAATAGGGATAACTAGCTGCTACTAAAGACGTTAGTGGTGTTTCACGACGCGTTCAGACATCTTCAGGTCATTCGTTGCAACATCTCCGAACACTTTGCAATGATCTTAAGTCTAATTACTTGCTAACGTATAGTCACGACAGTCTTCGCAATTGCTTGGTCATCTGAACATACTTAGCACGGGTCTCTTGCGTTCTTTCCTGCGAACTAATCCAAGCAGAAAATCTCCCCAGGTCCACATGAGTCTGGCATTCACTCTATGTGTCCGTGCCAACTCGATGGACACTCAGCGTTTCTGGTGCCTAGGCGCTAAATTCTCGACCATGGTCTTTATATACTACAAGGTCTCTTCTCATCTACCTGGGTACTCACAGTCCAGCAAGTAAGCCCGCTACGCGCCTAAATACTTCGAGCGACCCCCAACCGAGAGATGGACCAAAGCGCTTTCCTCAAAGAGATGGACACAGCCGCCCGGCCAGCTGTTTTTGGACGCCCTCGAGCTTCATCAAACCCTGTATTCTCAACATCAACGATCCATGGGACGCACTATATAGATAGGACTAGCGGCAAACGCGTGTACATAGACTTGAACCTCAAGACATTCTCGAGGCCCAAGGGCGAAGAATGGTACTCCCACATGTACGCCAACGTCAACGCAGACAAGATCGTCTGGCAGGGCACCTACGAGGATATCTATCCCAGCTCGGACGAGGTCTCCTCGGCTGAGGGGTACGCACTTCTCTGCAGCTACAGCTTCATGGACGAAGCAATGTCCACGATCGCTGTCCCTGGATTACCGCCAGCGTTCAAGAGGCCAAACCCTAAAAACTTTCTTCTCAAGATTGCGCCCGACTCTGGCTACCATTTCAGCGACGAGCATGCGGAACGCGCTCCGCAGCAACAATACGAGCCCGCTTTCCAGGCCATCGCAACGATGAACCCTGACATTCGCTTTAACGACGTAGATATCGTGATAAACCGCGCCACGATGTTAAATCTGATGAAGTGCGTCAAAAATGCTTCCTTCCAAGCGTTTCATCTCGATCTCGACTTCGAGAAGAACACTCTCTTCGTCGGAAGGAAAGTACGCAACGCAAAAGTCAGGTCCGCTGGCAACACCTACGGTCGTAACTTCGAGACTGCCCTCACAGACACCGAGATTAACGGCGCAAAAAGCCACCATCGCTTCATCAAATACAAGCTTGGTAGTCTCACCATAGTCGTACGCCATGAGGCCGACGCATACGACCCCACGATCGAGTCGCCGCAAGACCCCGATGCACCACCGAGTACTCTTCCTACCTTTGTCCCTGGTGAGCACGCCGTCGAAACCATCCAGCACGAAGGCCCACAGAAGACGCTTGTCCTTGTCCAGGGTAAGGTGGTACCCCAACACCAGATCCTGGAGCTGAAAAGCAACGCAAGTTCGCGACCCGTTGATCAGATGTGGTTTGGCAGAACTCCTACTTGCTGCCTAGGCGGGAAGCACAACGCTCACTTTGACGGAACATACAGGCAAAAGGACCTTCGGATCAAGGAAGTTACCCAAGCTGGAAGCAAGTCAGACAGCTTCAAGGGTTTCAAGAAGTGGGAGAAAGGCAACCAAGAGGCGCTACAGAAGGTTGTGACACTGCTCCAGCTGTTGCGAAAGACCGTCGGGGAGGATACTGAGCATCAGTCCGCAGTTTTTGTAGCGATGGGCAGTGACGATATCAAGGTACATGAGACGAAGGAGAGAATTGGCGCACTGCCTAAAGATATTGTGGAGCGTTTCTGGGATTAGGAAGGTCCTGGTTCAAGTATGCGATACCTTGATCGATGTAGTAGTGGTAGCTACTTCCCAAGGAACGAGAGCATAACTAGGTAGAAGAAGACGTCTCGGTAGGCTTAGCCTCGTTGCAGATGTACAGACAATGAATTTCGTTGTTCCCATTTTTATCATGATGTATCGCAAATCTGCGAGATACTCCGTCAAACACAAGATGCTCAGACTATCGCTGAACATTGAGCCACATGCCCGTGAAAAGCCCCATATTTCGCGCCAACACTCCGTAGTGGAGCGTATACCAATGAAACACCCATATCTCGCATCAAAATTAACTAGTCAGATCGTGTCCATCAAATCGTCAGCATGTTGTACCCATCATCAAAGCCTCTTTACGGCCGCTTCAGTTTTCCTTGCAAACCATTTCCCTAGCGCCGACGACTACCTTTGCGCCTCTTCTCCTTTCGCGAACGCCGATCTCGTCCATCCCCACGTTCAGTTCGCGGGTCCCGTGGCCTCGATTCAAAGCCCCGGTCTACACGGTCTGAATCTCGACTACGACTCTGGCGGCTGGTTGTACTTTGTCTAGAAGTTGCGAGTGTGGTGTTTCCCTGCGACTGGAGATAGAGATCAGTGACTGCAGGTCCCTGGATATGGTAGTTCGAACGTTCACGAGAGCTCTCATAACGATTGTCTTGCCTGGCCTCCCAGTTCTGTTCGTCGCGAGGGTCTCGACGTGGCGATCGCATGCGTGTTGTGTACTCTGGGCGGTTGGACGGATGTCGATATGGGGAGGGAGACCGGCTTCGAGTATCATGGCGACGGTGCCTGTCAGTTGATGACGTATAATCCAATCGACCGTTATCTGTAAATGACAAGAGTTAGTACAGTTTACACATAGCCCGTCGCCGATGGCTTTCTGGTGGAGTATTATGTTCATACCTTCAATGCTCTCCCGGCTTTGAGCAGCTCGAGTGTTGTGATGATCACCCTGAAGCTCGCGAGCGCGAATGGAAGTCTCGCGGGCCTTCTGTTCAGCCTGCTCACGTAGTTCCGGGTATTGGGCATATACTGCGTCTACTGAGCGCTCACCTTGCTGCTTGTAGAAGATGTCTAGCCTCGCCCAATCGAGAATATTAATTTCGCCAATGATGCGAACTTTGTTTGTCAGACGTACTAGCACCAACTCGCCACCATGGATGTAAGCTTGAGGGTCGATGGTACTATTGAACAACGATCCATAGACAGGCCGGTTCCCAGTGAGACTTGTTTCCTCGTAACTACCTCGTTCGAGCAATTTGAACAGCTTGTTCACTTCAGATACTGACATCAAATTAGAGGGACCTTTCTTTTGGTACGTGTAATGGCGTAGACAAGTCGCAGATTTTGGTAAATTGTCTTCGTCTTCGTGAGTTTTCATGACGGTCATGGGACGAAGCTTGTTAGACACAAGGCCTTCGTGTGTCGGTATACCACTTGCGGTTCGTGGATTGTATGCTTGTTGTGGGTCGGGTGCCAAGATGATGTCCCCAGGGCGAACGTTTCGACGATTTTGTGCAGACATTGGGGGGTTGACCTCCCACATATAATCCTCCACCACGTAGGAACGTGGTTCCGTCTTCGTGGCTGCCCCGTATGCGGTTTTCGTGTCGTTAGTCGAATACGCGAATGTATCGTTGTCGCTATATGTATCAACGAGATCGTTGCTAATCAGACCAGCATCTTCGTCGTATGGAAGCCCGATATCTCCGCCTTCGTCGTCGTAGAAAAGTTGGTCGTTGGACCATTTCGCGGAAGCCGCAGGCCGCGCGCCATTAGCTCCGATAAGACCCACGACGCCTACTATTTTCTTTGCCGAATCGGGAATGTCGCGTGATGAACTGATCGGTGGAGTTTCGTTCGGAGTCGACAGTGCCTCGCGATCTCGCTGCCGTGGCGGTGCGGGCTGCCGTAAGGCGTCGCGTTTGGGACTATCTGCGACGTGCGAGATACCGAAACCAGCGGAGTCAGCCATAGCTCCTGATTGATGCGGTTCGTCTACGCCGATGATACGGACATCAGCATGTGAAGAAAGCAACAGCCGCTTGCAGCGAAGTGAGCTACTTACCACTGAGCATCGCTCTGGAGCCGCAGTATCCGCGCCGAGAAGCTTCCGTTAGCAATTTGCAATTGATCTTGGGCCTTGGTGGGTGCGGAGTCTATGAGCCGGTGCACGACCACTTATGACCCGAAAGGCTCGGTCCACGCTAGCGGACAGGCAGTGAAAGATCCAGCCAGCGTACGCGCGCAGGAAGACATGAACGCGATGAGAAGACTCTGCCGAACATGTTAATTGATATGTACGATTACGTCGCAACATGGGCCGAGGTCTCCATGGCAGACCATATATCTCGATGTACCCGTATCTCGTGTTGCATCTCTATTCACAGACTACCGTAAAAGCAACCACTTCCGGAAGTCGATAGTTTAGTAAATCGTAGCCAAGCATCGTCATGACTGAATTGGCAACAATGGCTCTGTTAGTGGTCCCGGCTGTGTGGACGGTCTTGGAGAATTCAACAAAGAAACGGCCCTTTGTTCGTTCGACAAGTCCAGTGTTGTCTGTAGATATGTTAGCAAGCCTCACTCCACTGTCATCTTGACACCTTCCCCTCGTCATAAGCCTTCGGGTGTCTCAAAAGATCGCCCCAGCCACTCAATCATTGGACACACACATTACGTTAGCCATGGCTAGGACCAGATCGCGGCATGGCCGAAAGGAAAACTCAACCGCCGACTTCCATCCCGCCGGAAGGAGAGAAAAGGGCGATATATACATTTCCAGACGCAGAATGAACGTCTATAACATAACCAATCACTATTACAATAGTGACGAATCGTGGGTACGTCGCAACTCATCTGCTTCAACCCCACGGAGAGAAGATCTCAGATATGGAGGCGATAGCAACACGAGTGTGAGTTCGAAAGCCAGAGGTGGCGAACCACCATCAAGCGCTGCTGGAAGACCCCAAAGTGGTGACAACGCCTCACCACTTCAAGCTGAGGCAAGCCCCTGGCAGCTAAAGGGTGATTACGACCCAGAGAGACTCATTTCCAGTAGACCCGCTGCTATTATAGCGATCAAAGAGAGGGGAGAATCGAAATTGGCTATCCGACTGTCACCTGAACTTGCAACGTCACTAGAACGCGCGCTTCAATTCGCCGAGATATGTCGTAAGACCTACTTGGCAGGGCAGGAACGACATGAGCGAGCCAAGATATTAGAAGTCGATCACACCGAGGCTGTGGCTGGAATCGAAAGGCGCCTTGCCAATTTGAGAAGGGAAGGACAAGTTGAAGATGAGGACCAGGCTGAGTACAAAGATTTGGAATCACATCGTCGACGCGCAATCGAGGCTCGGAACATCGCCGAAGAAACGATGAGGCTAATAGAGGGTCAGTGGAGCAGTAACGATTTTGGATTAAAAGCTCGCTGGCAGGACGTAGAGAAGTTGTTGAAGCAAGTGTGGGCAGATGCACATATGCCTCTACGAAAGATAGCCCGAGCACTACCGAGGCAAAGAACCCAAAGCTCATCTCGTCAGAACCAAGATAATCGGGAGGAGATGGCAGGCCGAATAAGCCGACGGGAGGTTGGGGAAGAGAGGCCAGAACGGAGCAATAACCGGCGTAGTGCTCATCGAGCAGAGACAAAGACACCCTTTGACAAGAGGAAACTTGTTGATCCGTATAGTGCAGTTCTCAGTGCTCTAGCGAGACTTTCACGTCGTCATAAAGATCTTATCCGGGCCCGGGATCGATGCGAGAACTATTGCCATAATTACGATCGAGAAGGAGCCAGGTACCGCAAGGCCGTACAAAACTCAAATAGTTCGAGGTCCTCCAACAGCATCAGGCAGGAGTTCAACAAAGCATTTCTCAGCGACGTGATACTTGACAAGAAAAGCTTGCAGGCCGCTAGAACCGACTACCTAGCTGCTCATGAGGAAGCTCGCAAACTCGGAATTCCCAAGAATTGCATTGACTTCGTTGAGTCTATCGATCTGCAGAGCTGTGATACCGGTATCGTCATGGAGAAAGATGCTGTGAACCGCAGGGCCACCGGAGACGATCAACACAAGCTCGACAGCCGTATAAGAGCTTGGCGCACGTTGACTACTGCGGATCCATTACCGCAGCAGGTTATTGTCGAAGACAGTTCGGATCGATTGAGCTCGGCCAGTTCGCCTGGTCGTACGGAAAGTTCTGTAGACACTGATGTATCCCGAGGTCTGTCGAAAGGCGCCGTTTTGAAAGGTGACGCTGGTAAACGAACGCGCGCAACACGTGAGCGCTTACAGGGGCAGCGTTCAGACGCAAGGACTGCATCCTCCGTAGTTCAAGGAATTGACACTGGTGTGAATGCCGACAAGGAGCTGAAGTCAGGCTCGGGGCCCAACCCAAGTTCGAGAGCCAGAGAAGACGATGGCCCAGAAGTCAATCTTTGGAAGCCCTCGCATGGTATCAAGTTTTCGCGACCACCAGAAAAGGTACCAGATGCGAACGATAACAAAGACACAGTCAAGCCCAATTTCCCTGTCAGAGTTTCGCCACGCGGAGGCAAGAAGTCGATTGCTTATTTCTTCAAAGCACGGCCGAAAACGTCCAAATCAGTTGTCGATCCTAGGAAGGCGGCCGATACTTCGAGTGCAGGTGAAGCAATGTCTGGAGAGAAGAGGAAAAGTAGCTCCGAAGGATCGCCTTCCAGTAATAAACGGAGAAGGCCTGAAAGGCGGACCGCACCAGACTGAAGTGCCAGCATCGCTGAAGATTTAGACTTCATGCAGGTAGGTGGGTGGAGACGAGTGGTTCATTCGTTCTCAGACCGTCGCAGTAGAGCAACGATCACGGGGCGTGCCATGTGTATAGATAGTAGCATGCTGGACTGCAAGCAATAATGCTGAGAGGCTGGGATGAACAATGCAGATAGTCTCAGGCTATCGTAGGGGCTGAAAAGCTGCGAATGAGGATCCACGGGGCCGCGAGCCGAGCTCGTCGACGATCAGAGTGCACGGCATGATGAGGCAGCATCCGTGTAGGTATCGCGCATCGTAGACGTGGCGTTTGGAGATGAAGCTGCGATGACTGTAGATGGAAAGAGGTAAGGCAGGCGAGGATGCCTCGCGCATGGATGACGCTTGACGACACATTACGTAAGCGGGTGGCCTTTGCTTCGGCATCGTCGCACGACCGTGCCTTCCCGATCTTCTTCCTCCTCAACCTACATCACGTGGAAGAGGCAACCTTGGAAAGATATCAACATGTTGTTGTGGATCTGCGTTGCATTACAGTAATTACAGCTCCAATTACCTCACTATGGACCAGTCTGATCTCGCACCTCCAAAGCCTTTACGCACATCGTGCAGGCGGACAGCTCTTCCGCCGTCGACCAACACTACGATCTCTATAAGCGAGATGCGCACACTACCCTCGACCTACCAGTCACTGTACTCACTCTCATCACCATAGCTATAGTCACTTCCGTGACTCCCATATCCGTCGTCATCATCGTAGCGCGCACCAGCCCGGCTGTCACGTGCAGGCGTGTTGCGACGGCCACGACGCTCGTACCTCTCATCGTAATCATCATATTGGCGATCATCACGACCGTTGTACCCTTCATCGTAGCGATCGTCACCCCAGCCATCTCGATCGTCTCGGCCGCCTACTGGCGAACGATATTCTGGGCTGTATTCCTGACCATTTTCGTGGTCGTTGCGGCCCTCGTTCGCACCATCGTAGCCTTCGTCGCCGCCACCGCCGTTCCCAGCATCGTGATATTCCTGAGCAGTCTCTTCATCTCGATATCTGCGATAGTCGTAATGCGCGATATTCTGCTGCCCAGTACCGGTGTTCAAGTGGATGTTGTTGTAGTCACCGCTGACGGCGATGTGACGGACGATCCCACCAAACTGCCTGGACTCATGTGAGCGGGCGGAAACGATCGCGTTGTCTCCATTGAGCGGCACGGGAGGTTCTTCAGGGTAGGCAGGAGGCGGCGAAGCTGATTCGGGCTCTTCACGTCTACCAACAACCTCCGCCGTGCTCGTCAGCGCGGTCGAACGCTTTGGTAGATGGACGCCGTTCGAAGCATCACGAATGCGCTGGCCCTCTTCTGTATACGACTGTAGCCCCGACTCTAACCAGTCGTTGATTTCATCATGGGCTTCGTCTTGAGTTGGACGAGACACTCGCATGGCAGCTGGGCCTCTTGGTGCGTCTTTTGGTATGTATGACGGCACTACGTATGCGTTCATGCGACTTATGACTTGAGAATCAGATTCTGACATTGTCACGTGCTCGAAATGATGATGATGCGTGTTGAAAAGATAGATGTTCAGGCTCAGTGGTGAGTTGTACTGCTTCGTGGCAGAGGGTGCAGAGTTGTAAACGCTGCTTTATGTTCAAGAAGAAGAGATGGAGGTTGATGGGAGTATGTGATGAGAGCAACTGACACATTCACAGATGTCAAGTGATTTAGTTTCACTTCTCCGGGTTGCTACTGGGACCAGGTTCGATAACGTTCACTCCCATTCCAAACATCCAGACGGAACCATCTTTCTGAAGTCATAAAGACAAACTCAGATATTACGAGCGTGCATTTCTCAAGGGCCAAATTCGCGTCCAGGCTGATCCATTCTTTGGAATGCGCACTTACCGTCAAGCGCTTTGTACCGCAGTGACAATGACAATGCATTCACGCAGGCTGGACAATGAGCATTGTATAAGCAAAGTCAACAGCTGCCTTGCATGGACCACCTCATCAAGCTACCCACACACGTGCATTCTCACATTCACGCAGGGCATCTTACATACTTTCCCTTCATCCCACCCCAGCACCCTAACCAAGATGCCCCAATGGACATGTGAAATCTGCCGCTGGCCCAATGAAGAGAACGCTGAGTCCTGTACACAATGCGAAAGATCGACACGTGACGGTAATCCGGGTATGACAGAAGGTGAATCTAGCTCGGAGGAGGAGCAACCTGAGACACCGGAAAAGGATGAAGTGCCGCAAGAATATGAGCTACCGGATGAGGACGGTGAAGAGGTGGGGCAGGATGAGGAAGAAGAAGGCAACGGGGACGGAAGCTCATGAAGAAGAACCTGTCGGATTCACTTCAACAACAAGAGTGTAGTACCCGTTGCGAACACGGTCGGAGGTATCATCAATGCTCCGCTGATCCGCATAACTTCCAACCTCCTACAACAACGCCCAAGCCAATACCGCCGCGACCATCCCGCTTCCAACAACAGGACTAAGCCTACCCGCCGCACCAGTCGGCGCAGGCGACGCCGCCGCATCGCCACCTTCTTCCGTCGCAGAACCCACATTCGCAATCGCCACACCACTAACATCCGTCCCATTCTGGCACTGATCATCCGACAGCAACTCCGCCGTAGCGTTGAACATGATATCCGCGCACTATGTCACTGTTAGCACCACATCCCCTCCTACCCCAGACCACTAGAAAGAAGATCCTCACTCACATTATACAAAGCACTCCCACTATGCCCCAACTGAATAACTTGGACCGTCGCCATCAACCCATTAATCCGCTCATCATCCAGCCCACTATACCCCGCCGCCTTGAACCCTTCTTCCAGATTCGCTTTCCCGGTTTCCTTCATGCAGAACACGCCGGCGCCGGTTTGGTTGAACATTTCCAGGAGGGTGATGTTGAAGTTTGTGGCGTTGCTGCCGAGGGCTAGGTTCACGGAGGTGAGGGCTGAGGTGTGGGATCCGTTGATTATGGTGGAGCCGCCGGTGGGGGGCCAGAGAGTTCCTGGGGGTGGGTTAGTTGGTTGAAGGGGGTTTGGGGGGTGAGAAGGTATGGGAGGGGTTTGAGATGGGTAGGCAGGATGTTGGGGAGAAGAAAGAGAAATGGGACGCGTACGGTTCGCCATGTCGGTTGTTTCGTTCACGTTGGCGCAGGGGTAGATCCATTGGCTCGCTGGTTCCTCAAAGGAGCTACCGCGCCATGTGGGTGCGAGGAGACGGAAGTGGGCGTTTGCGCCCGCGGCGAGGGCGGCGACTATGAGGAGGGTGGTTGACAACATGGTCGCTGTAACAACAAGAAGGTGATGCTGCAAGTAGGTTCAGTCGTAGGAGTAGGTAGGGACGAGGAGATGCGAAAGCCGAAAGATGTAGAATGCGAAAAGAGATCCGTTCACTCTACCAGCACACAGCATCTGACATGCAGCTGCCAGACCCTTTATACCCACTCCAACTTCCAGTCCAAGTTCCTCTGCAGATTCTCCGCATCCAATTCTACCCACATGCCTGTCGTGCTAGCGGAATCCATCTACCTCTGTTCCGCTGCCAAGCAAGCACGAAGAAGCCTTTCCTCGCCTAACCGCGACCACGGCATTGGGAAAGATGTAAGACCCAATCAAACGTGATAATCTTGGTCAAGGAGTCTGGAACCGGTGTGCACGCATCCACTCATGATTGTAGCGAACATGTTGTGGCGCGAGCTATAGCTGCGACCCTGCATACGGACCCCAGGATAATGTGCTCAAGTGAGCAAGTTTATGTCTTGGCGGGGTTGGACGGCTTCGCGACCAAGTCGAGCTGAATGGAAGCGGAGATGAGATGATGGCACGCCTCTCAGGGCTGAGCTTTGGGGTGAATACAATGAATGCGAGATCGAAGAGGCTGGAAGCTGGTGTCGGACCTTTCGTGAGGTGGTTCTGAAGCTGATTGTAGAAGTCGCGCGAACGCTAACACCAATCAGGCATGGCTTGAGATAATGCATGGCATCTAGGTACTGTAGATCAACACGAACACGCACAGAAAACAAGAAGCTTGAATATGAACATGACTGTATTGCAAGGTCTGGTATCATAAAGACTCACTACTCAAAAACTCCATACCCAATGCCATACCCAATGCCCTGACCCAAGCGCCAAAGAACCATTCATCAAAACATGCTACTTTTCTTCTTCTTGATCTTCTCGGCATTGCTCTCACTCTGTGTTCTCAACCCCCAGAAACTTTTCTTAGCCTTGGCAACCGGCTTGGGTAGTCCATTGCTGAAGAAGCTGCTCTGACTAGCAGCGGGCCGATGTTGTACAGGTGCTTGCAGGTATACACCTTGCGGTTGCTGCATGCGCGGGGGTTGTGCGGGAACGGGTGCAGGGCGGGGTGCGGGACTGGGTCGTTGATTTTGCCATCCGCCCTGTACGAGGGGCGAGGAGTGTCGCTGAGGCTGTGGGGACGGGCGCTGGAGGAGGTTGGACTGGTCTCCGAACTGCTTCTTCAAGCGTTCTGTCTCCTTGTCGATCTCGGCTTGTTTCCGGCGTCGCTCCTTCTCTTCGCGTTCCTTCTGCTTTCGCTCCTGCTCGAGGAACTGCAGCGTCTTGCGTTCTTGTTCCTCCTCCTGCCTGCGCCGAGCTTTTCGGTTTGCTTCTTCTTGGCGCTTCTGCTCGCGTGCCTCGGCCTCCACTTGTGCCTTCAAGCGCGCCGTCTCAGCATCAAGCTCCCATTGTGCTCGTGGATCTAACCTTGGCCCCGGCTGCCGTTGTTGTGTTGGGCGCTGCGGTTGAGGCGGGCGCTGCTGTTGAACAGGTCGCTGAGGCTGAACGGGTTGTGGAGGCTGGCTGGGACGGGTCTGATTCGTGGCTAGCGGTGGAAGCGAAGAGCGCTTGGCGGCATTGTTGTTGCTGGTATATGAAGGTGGAGGTACTTGTGCGTTCGCGCCAGCACCGCCGGCAGGCTGAAGGGCAACCTTCTCGGGTGGGTATTGCGACGACGACGGGGTGTAGGCTGGCGGTGGAGGAGGCTGTGGTGTCATGACTGGTGCCGTGATGTTCGGGCCTTCGAGCGGCGATGAGCCTTTCCTTGCGCGCACACCCGCGCTGTTCTTTCGAATGTTGGCGTTGATGTGGAACTGGTCATTCAGATCGCTGAAAAACAGATCGCGTATTACAGCGGCCCCGATGAGCAAAGCTACCTCCAGCCCCTTGTAGTCCTCGATCTCGACGCGGTAGAGGTTGGACTCCATGATTGTGAGCTCTTTCAGGCCAGAGAACAGGGCAACGGCGATATCCGGTTCCTTGCTCTTCTTGACCTTCTTGCCGGTGGGGTCGGTCGATTTGCCTGTCATGTAGCATGTCATATCCTTGCCCAGCCTGCCCTCCTTTCGCCAGGCAAAGTTGACTTTGGGCGTGTTCGCATCGCTGCCGGGGTCCGCAAGGCTACGATCGAGCGTAGAGTTGCTCGGGGTCCTGAAGGTGACCTGGGGTATGCTGAACTCCCAGCTGACGGTGCTGCTCCACTTCGCTGTCGAGTGCTTAACGACAACGCGCGAGTCGGGGTTGTAGAGTTGGATAGCGAATTCGGTGGGGTAGATGGGCTGGGGCGGGGGCGGCACTCCGCCATTCCTGCGAATCTCCTCCTGGGACAATGTTGGGTGCGACCATCCCGGCTTCGCAAGCACTTCGCCGTATAGGACCTCGGGGTTGCGCGAGTCGAACAAGGCTACGGCGTATGTGTTCTTCGCCTCGTGGGAGGCTGGGTCGACGTGGTGCAGGGCATATTGCGCCTCGGGCTCAGAGCCGTTCTGGGTGAAGTAGAAGGATTCGTGGTGCTTGAGCTTGTCGGTCGAGGCCTTGAGAAAGAAGGCTAGAGAGTGGTTAGTACCACTACCGCTATTGACATGGCGATTGGCCCGGAAAGCTGGGAACACGTACTGGGGAGGTTCTCGTCTAACATTGCGTCATGTTATACCCGTCTGGATACTGCGTGTGGTTTGTGATGCGACCAGGTGCCTGGAACGAACGATGAGCTGGCAGGTTAGTGGATGTGCGGCGGCGGCGTGGACATGTTATGGCTGGTCGACCGGATACGCGTCTCCCATGAGGCTGTACGCACATCCCTGCAACTGCGCCGGGAGCCGCTGCCCAATGACGCTGATCTGCCCCGCTTATCCGCTATTCTTGGTCAAGTCAGCCTCGCGCGAACCGTTCTTCGCGCATCCACGTGCTGCTCTCATTTTCACTTGTTCATTCGTATATCGTACCCTTCGCCATCCCACCTGCCATTGGACGTTCCCAAGAGTCGACCCTCTGATCTATGACGCCAAGTAGGCTTGTTGCATGTTGACGATGCTTGCGCAATGCACCCCAGCGGCGTTTCACCACGGCCCGCAGCACAGCCGACCGAGTGATGACCGCAGCTCATCGACATCTCCAAGCTCAGCGCTATAGCTAACGTCGCTTGCTAGTCGCCTTGCGATCGAGGCTTGTCAACGGTTCACGTACTTGGCATCTTCGATTGTCCTGGAATTACGACACGCCTACGCGTCTTTTGGCCAAGCAGCATACGTGCATCTCGCAAGTCATGCTACATTGAGATCGATATCCACCCCGCAGAGATGGGGAAACGACCCTCGGCCCAATGGAAGCTCCAACCTTTCACAGGATGCACAAATTATCAAAACTCAGACTCCGCTTACCAACGCAGAGGTGCTTTCCTCCGACCATTGACAGCTTGACGGTAACGGCTATCTATCTTACCATCACTAATCAGGAGAATTTTACGTGAGTGCTAGAACAGGAACACGTACTCACCCTACCACAGTGTGTCTCTCAAGCACGAGGGCGGGAACAAAGACGAAGGAAGGAAAACAAAGCAATGGAGCACAAGGGCTTCATAACCCCAGAACCTCCTCTAACCCTCATCGGTTTCATTTGCCCCTCGCCACCGCGTCTGTTCAACACAGAGTACACATACCAGATCGTTCCCTGGCTGGTATGACCCACGCCATGCATAATTCATTCGTAAGACCTGAACGTCGGAGAGGTCTCGCAAGAGGCACACACTGGCAAATTCAGCGCTACAAAGCTCACGGGGTGGCTTTGTGATGAGGACGTTGATATCGAAAGAGCGATCTATTGACCGCTCAGCCATTCACCACCAATGCACCGTACTGGAGCGACTACTTGAGCATAATCTCGTACCCATAATCGCAAATATGCTACGATAGGAGCTAGGACACTGCGCGGAAAAGTACACATCTTGATCTCTTTTCGCGGATCTGGACGCCAATTTGGACGAGGAATTATTCACATAATGTCATCGAAACAATGCAACAATGGATGGGGTAAGGGTTCAGACACATTCTTATTCAGGAAACATGTATTCACTTTTATTGAGACGTCGGATTCACGAGGTGTTTGACGCACGCAATTTTCGACTTGGTTCCGCGCTAGCTGCTATTGTCCAGCTGGACCCTGATCCTACGTTTGCACCTTCCACCGACTTGCATTACCACATATTGCGACATCACTTGTCAACGTCCGCAGACCAACTATCCTCACGTGTCCGCGGTATCCACATCACCAGTCATGACTGAACGAGCACCCGCCGCCGACGCACGCCTGCAGCAGGTTCTGAAACATGTCAACACCACTTCTGATATCGGCGCCGTCGCAGCCGAGACAACTCCCCACGATACGTTTACCAGCGCAGCAACTCTACCAGGAAGCAGGCTTTCTAGTGCTGCTACATCATCGATTAAACACGGCAAGTCTGGGTCGTCAGGACATAAGGCGGTCCCATCGACAGCCGAGGTGACTACTCAAGGACACGTCCTGTACCGCAGTGCTGGTATACAAACACTTCCACCAAGCAATGCCGATGGTTTCCGCAAGATTTACGATCGCGAGCCTACACACCAGGAGCTCGTCAGCAAAATTGGATCTGCAGCACTTGGTCGCTACAAGCCGGGACCATCAGCGCACGACGTCGTTCAGAGCGCGCCATTCCCCGCTCCAGACGTTTCCAATAGGCGTGCAAACTATGTCACCTCATCGTTCCAGACCAAGGATGTAGCGCAATGCAAGAAGGATCTTCTAAAAGCAAAGGTCAAGGCATCGCTGTTAGTTAACAAACAGCGCGACGCAGCTCTGTCGGCAGGATACAAGGTCTGGTCGGAAACAAGAGACGACTACATCGTACACTCAGAGCAGCTCGACACCAGTGTTCAGTTTGATCACCAAGGCAACGCGACCAACGCGAATGTTGAAGGCCTTTCCTTACCCAACATCTACGGTGAAGAGGTCGAGCCGCGTCCTACCATCGCCCATCCCACGCAACTCTCAAATCGTGGAACGCCAGAGACAGAGGCTGGTGTCGACGCAAAATCAAGAGAGCACACCTTCAGCGCAGCTTCAAGTCTTACGCCGCCACCAACGCCGCCCTCACTCAAACAACACGACGCCAATGCCAATGGAAGCACACCCCAGCGCATTCGTACTGTCGAAACCTGCATACCGAGTGAGAAGTCCGACCCACCGTCTATTGAAGATTACGGCTACGTTCAACTCGTCCCAAAAGAAGCCAAAAAGCAAGATGTGGACGGGGACAGTGGACAGGAACAAATGCGACAGAAGAGAAAGAGCTCGGAAGTAAGCGAGGAGGACCCCATAGAGGGTCAAAAACAGAGGACGGCCGTCATTGAAAGCAATGAGAGGACCGTCATGGTGTTTGGCGGCGAGAGATTTGCGGACGAGTACATTGTTTACGACGCCACGACGTCGAATACTGTGAACTCCGACACTTCATCTCGATCGCCTTCTAACATAAGCAAGAAGAGAAAGTCTGCCGACCAATGCGAGCCTGAAGTAATTACCAGACCGCCCAAGCGCTTCAAGTCGTCAGCCACTCATACCGATTCTTCCCCTATCAGAACGGATACTAAGACAGACCGTTTTGTACAAGATGGCAGTGTCGCGCGCAATGACGCGTTGACTGCCAGTGTTAAATCCGCACAATGCAATGAAGCTCCTGGGGAGGCGAAACGACACCGTGCTCGGTCGATCCCTCCAAATCGGCCACGCGAAGGCCAACATCACTCCGAGGATGATCGCCACTCACGCAATTCACGACGAGATCGGGAGCCCAGACGGCGAAGCCGATCTCCCGCTTCTAAACATAATGATGATCGTTATAGGTCAAGAAGCAGCACCAGACAACCGTCTGAAAGCCCATACCAAGAAGGGCGTCGACTCCACATGACAGAGTCGCAGCCGCGCCAGACAGGCCCAACACATGGTCTTGCCAAGATTGACGCGACAGAGCAGAAAGGAACGGAGAACCAAGCACAACGCTCAAGTGACTTGGACGAGACAGTCCTTGCACGTGAGAAGGAAGACGACAGGCGAATGGAGCGAGCGAAGCAGATTACCGACGAAAAGCGAGAGAAGCATCGTCAACAAGAAGAAGTCGAGATACAGCGGGCGAAGCAGATCACCGACGAAAAGGTGGCGAAGCGTCGTCAGCAGGAAGAAGCCGAGATGCAGCGAGCACGTGAAGCCAAAAACGAACGGAGATCGGAGATTGAAGAGAAGAAGCGAGCTCAAGAGGAAGAGTCTCGTCGCCGAGAAGAGGAGAAGGACAGGCAACGCCGCCGCCGCCATCACGGAGACTCACAAGACAGGAGTAGCAGCAAACGTGCGACAGTAGTGGAACCACCAGCGGAGCCAGCTGCGCCGGTCGACAGATATGCACTGGCACGAGAAGTTGAGGCACGACGCCGAGAAAAGATGTTTGCAGCGCGTTCTACTGGTGAGGTGGACAGTCGAGCACATGAACGGTCAGCTGCCACAAACAAGCGTGGCAGTAGATTAGAAGTAGAGCCAAAGAAGCCAGAAAAGAAGGTGGAAGATGACAAGGTAAGTAAGCCGAAAGCGAAGCCGAGACCGAGTCGGACTGCTCGCGGAGAGATCGAGCGTTACGATCCGAAGAAGAGGTTTGGACGTGGCGAATAGAACTTATTTGTAGTGTTGAGGTGGGTACAGTGCGGTGGTATGAGGATCACCCCATACAAGGGAAAAGCTGAACGCCCAGGAGCATATGTAGCTGTTAGGCCACCAACTTCGCAAGCTTTCATCTTGATGTAGGCTCTAGAGTGTTCGGTTTTTCCCTTGAATAGTGTGGGATGGTGTTTGGAACAAGGGCTCACTGGTGGGTCTTTGTCATTTGGATTGATGGAAGTCCGGAGGTAGATAGCTAGTCTTTCCGTAGTATAAATGTACAAGAATTTACAAACGTTTCTTGGGTGATAGATGGATGTAGTATACAGATCGCAAAGTCGTCTTTCCAACGATCACCTCCTCAACGCCCTCGCTGCGCCGCTTCTTCCCAACATGTCCTGTGTCCATTCAAAGACATAGTGACCGTTCTTTACAATGCGTAGCACCTTATCGATTTCCGATGCAGCGACTAGGCGTGTGCTCGTGATATCGGCCAGCTCGTCCATGAGCTTTTGCTCCCCTTTCACCTCCATTCACTTCGACTTTGACAATCCTTCGCTGCTGCTGATCACGCAGCATTGAGGGAGCTAGGGACCCACACTGGCAATACGCGGTCACCGTCGCATTCCTATCTCACGATAGACCCAGCTGGACAGACTTGCTATCGCCTACCCGCAAGCCACGTCCTATCTATACCAAATCTCTTGCGAAGACCCATAACAACACCCTACTATCTCTCGTGTTCTATCCACGAGCAAGATGTTTGCATCATCACCACCTACCGCCGCCATGGCCCCCAAGCACATCCCCAACGCCATCTCCCGCACCCTCAACTCCCGCGTCTCCAAGACACACGTCACCCGTGCGCATATCCATCTCAACCGCAAGCCACATCCAGCAGTACGCACGAAGAAGAAGCGCGACCAGAAACTTCGCCGAATAGACATCCAACCCCCTTCCCTTACCAGCTCAAGCTCGAAGCACAAGCCATTCGACTCTCGCTTCACGCGACACAAGTCCACATGGCGGTCCATAGCACACGGCTTTGTGGAGCAGCAACAAGAGAAGTTGAGGAGTACGGAGGGAGACGAGATGGAGTGTGAATACGATACTATGGACCAACTGGCCGCGTTCTATGCGACCGGTGGTGTCTTTGGTAGTCCACCTACATCTCCCGCGTCGTCACCTTCGTCGTCTTCAAGTAGCAATACCTCTGGAAGTTCGGCTGTGTCTTGGAGCACCGCGTCGACCTTCAGTGCTCGCACCCTCGCCAGTTCGATGGCGTCACAGCCCAGCGCGGCGTCCTTCACCGCCATCACAGGCACCTCAACCGCGGATAACAGCGGAATGTCCTCTCCAGAGATCGACATGGCAGATGCGCCGGACGTTTCCACAAGCCATGTCGCCGCCACGCCTCCAGTTCTCACAGCACCTATACCCGCACCACCACCCTTGCAGCCGCCACAGCCCGTGACCACGGCCCCCACCGCCAAGGTCAACACACCCCTATTGCCGGGCTTAGCCTACTTACCATCCAAACCCCTACCAACCGAGAAGGCGGCAGCCAAACCGCGCTCAAAGACCCCCTCTCTACCCCCCAAATCCGCATCCAAACCCGACGTCGAACTAGGCATGGGCTCTTTCTCCGCCTCAAAAATCACCTCCTCATCCACGCTCGTCTCCGCTTTTAGCAACCCCCATTTCAAAACCTTCTTCGCCTCCGAAATGATCTCTCTCCAAACCCATCTGCAATCCAACAAGGAAATACGCGGCTCCCACCTCGTCTATCTTAATAGGTCGCTAAAATGGGTCATCGATGCGGCGGAGGCAAAGTGGTTTAATCCCGACATTGACTTTGAGAGCGATGATGTGGCGGATTGGAGGGGGAAGTTGAATGTTTTTATGGAGGTTTTTGGGGGTGAGGTAGAGGGGGTTGCGAGGGATACGAAGGAGAGGATTGAGAAGGTGTTTGGGTTGTTTGCTGATGAGGAGGGGGTTAATGGGGGGTTTGGGGAGGGGGCGGTAGCTTGATGTTAAGGACTATGATGGTGGGGGAGGTCTCTTGGAGATTAGCGATAGTGAACTGAGATGTATACAAGAGTATGATTTGCACTAGAGACGCTGTCAACAAGGGACCGAGGGGGATACGAGGCGGCCATGCGTTGCAAGTGACAGCTTGTGGAAAGCAACGTAGGCATGATGAGTAGTGATAAGCATGAAGAACAGGAAGCTTGACGAGATAGTAGCTGCCAGGTGGTAATCGAATCTTGCACCAGAAATGATACATCTAGATGTCTTCACGTCTATGCCTCTAGTCATACTCTTCCTTCTCCCCCTCAAGCAGTAGTTCATGTCCATTCCCTTCTTTTACGCCCTGTGCAAGCACCCATCCAGCTATAGCTACAGCAGCCATACACCACCAGGCCAGTCCGATCATTCCCATATTCAGCCCCCTGCCGAATACCCAGGAGAAGAGTATTGGCCCCACGGTCCGAGTAAGACTGGACACCGACTGGCCAATACCATGAACGGTACCCAAGACCGATGGATGCGGACTGACGTTGTTGATAAGTATAGCCGTACATGGCAGAGCGAAAGTGCGAGCGAGGACTTGTATGAACAAAGCACATGTAATAGCGATCCATATCCACGGACCGCTGACACCGTCGGGTGGGGACGTCCAGCTGGGAACCAGACTCAAGAACGGAGCTGTAGTGTACATCACTGGAAAGAGAGCGAGGAAGATGCGGTAACAACCAACGGTACCTAGACGATGCGCAACTCGTGGGTAAACGAAGAGTTGCAAGGGTATGCCGATGACACCGATGATGGCAAGTGCGATACCGATACGCGCTGGAGGCATGGCTAGACCGCCGGTAAAGAACAGGCCGTGAGGCGTGAAACCCGGGGGATATGGGTGACTACGGTCGAAGCGAGGCGTGGAAAGATGGATAGTCCAGAGACCGTTGAAGGTACCTACGTGCATAGCAAGAACGCCGTGCGCGCAGAGTGTTGTGACTAAGTTGCGAGTCCAGATACGACGGAAGGGTAGCTGCTGTCTGACGAAAATCCTCGGCTTGTCAAGACTAGCAGATGATGGTGCATGCACCGATGTTGGTGTGGGTTGTAGCTCAAAGTCATCCTCCGGTACAACGTTGTACCCATCTTCAGATGCGATGTTCTGTCGAAAGATCGTTCGACGTATCCATCGGCCAACGCGGAGACCTGGGTCGGGCCGGTGTTTGCAAAGTTCACCTGTCTCTTCAAGGAAGAAGAGAACAGCGAAAGATGACAAGCATAGGAACACGGCGCTCGTGAGATTGGGTAGGGCGTAAGGGTATCGCTTCATCCACTGTACGCCGTCTTTGCCACCGAAAGTGGAGTTGGGCCCAAATAGAGAAGGGTAGCTGGCAAAGGGGTCTGCGAGTACACCACCTGCTTGCTGTCAGTACGTTCTCTTATGTAGACCGCTCAATGATACTCACCCATTATAGGCCCGACCAAGACACCGACGTTGAAGATCATAGGTAAGATCAGGAAGGCTCTACTCTGGTACTTCTTTTCCTTGATGATCTCACTGATCATAGTCCTGATCACACCAACATTACCGTTCAGTATACCACCAAGACATCTAAAGGCTACTGCCATGGCGAAACTGCGTGAGAAGCCAAAGCCAATGATGCTAAGCATTGTGCCAAGCAGCCCAAGATATATCGTTCTCTTTCGGCCACCGTACTCTGCATCCGAGAAGCGTCCCCATAGCATGGCGGTCATGAACTGAGTCGCTGGGAATGCTGCGCCGATTATGCCAGCTTGGTACGAGATGGTCGACTCTGGGAGTGATGGATCGAAGGATTGGAGCTGGTAGTAGAGATATGCGCCCAGCGAGGTCTGAGTCAAAGGTTCGGAAAGACGAGCAAGCATCAGGACGAAGAGCTGGTCTTTGCGTGGTAATTCGCTCCATGATACTGGTTGGCTCGTAGGCTTGTCTTGTTCGACTTCGTCGAGATCAGAAGATGTGGTGTTCGCCTGGGTGTCGACATGCAGGTCACGCGACCATATTTTCTTTTTCTTGAGCTCATATCCATCGTCAGATGCTATTGCATTCGCGAGAACGCTTGATGGCAAAGATGTGACATCGTATCTTCCGCGGTCGAGTCTCATGAGAATGGAAGAGGTGCAGATGACGAGTCGCTCTGTAGCGAAGAAGATATTTTGGGAACGACGAAGAATGGGTACGCCATTATCGCTATCTCAGGACCGTTGTTAGCGCCCGGAACCAGAAATGTGCCGTCCCAAAGATTAGTGGTGCCATCTGATTGGTGAAGAGATAATGGGTGGTGTGGGTGGTCGCCTGCCTGGAGATGTCGGAGTTTAATGTTGCGTCGCCACTTGGCGGGGTAATCCCGGCGGCTTAGGTAAGCGCATCGCAAAATCCTTGTCGCGCGAGGAAAGAACGAATTCGGCACCTGCATATAAACTGGAATGGACGCTATGGTACAAGCCCATGGCACACAACACCACATGCTCAGAAAAGATGCTTCTACGGTCTACGCCGCCGAAATCTGCCATTCTTGTTTGATCATGATCTTTTGCGACTCTTGACTAGCAATAGATGCACGCTCCGCTCGCTGACCTCTCATGCAGTCCATCCTTGAGGGTGGGAGGGTCGATTTTCTGGAGCTCTCCTGACCCCTTAAGCGGTCTAGTCTTGAGGGTGGGAGAGTATCCTCTTCGGAGTTCCCCTCGACTGTTGTGGTGGCATATGCATCCGACGGCGTCAGCTTCAGCGACGAGAATTTCGACTTCGATCGAGTACTCTTCGTCAGGGACTTGAGTTCATAACTGCCGCCTGACATCCCACTACCTCCGCCTGTTGTTCCCTCACGTAAGTATCCTAGGGATACTCCTTGTGTCATGAATCCTTGGGTGAACCCTTTGAGGAGTGGAGTTGTTGCGGATATGAGGTTGAAAGAAAGAAGAACGCTTTGCCAGGCGACGGTCGGGACGATGCGAATGGCTGATTCACGGCTCTCTACGAATTTGGCATATGCAAGGAAGTGCATAAGAGCAAAGACAACGTTTCTAAAAGGTGTAAGTGTCGTTGCCAGCTCGATCCGGGGTTCATACGTACGGTATCCTCGTAAAAAAGGCCATCACAACGATGAATTTACTTTTGATCGACATGAGAGACGAGTGGAAGCCTATTATCGGCAAGGCCATGATGGTTACCTCGGTGATCATGTCACCGACAGTAATTGCTTTGAGCCAGGGAATCTGACAAGTCAGTGTTTATGCAGAAACATGTGTGGATCTGACAAGAGAACATTGACAGGGACGGCACCAGATATGAGGCACCACTCATGCGAGCTGCTACTGCCTTTCGAAGCAGACGGAGGTTAGACTTACTAAATCGACGCAATACTCGTCCCCAGGCTTCGGTATGACGGTATCGACTGAACACTCGGTCGTGGTTGCAATGGCTCCGATCAGGCCCAACACCACTACGACCACGCCGGTGCCAATCGCTAGTATGGAGACTTTGACGTTCCGCGCGAATACAGACCGGATGAGCATGAGGATAGAGACTTTCGAAAAAGCGAGTGCAATGTACAGCAGGATGCAACTCGTATAATAAAGCTGATAATATCCAAAGTGTCAGCGTATATCATCGTATTGGATGAAACGGAGGTAGAAAAGAGACCTTTGGCTGACCTCTTGTGTTTTAGATATCTCTGCATCTTCTAAGATGCTATACGACTTTCCGAGACCACTCTTCAGCGCTGAAAACAGGAAGGCCCACATGCTGAACGCCAAAAGCTGTGTTGACGTCAGCTTCGGGTCATACTGATAAAGGCAGTAAAAGCGGGGGGGTTCGCGACGCGTACATGTGCAACTACGACGACAAAGTCGTCCCAGGTATGCGCTCTCCATTTCGTGAACCCGAGACGAACTGCGAGTACCAGGATCGCATAAATCATGGAAAGAAGCGTGACGACCCAAAGCGTCGCGCCCCGATCGGTGGTTGTGATGCGGGCAAAGCGGTTGTCCGACGCCCTGGCCAGGAGCGAGGAACTGGATGAGTACGCCATCTGTCGCGTGAGGCCAAACCGACTGGCAAAAAGGCGTTATAAACGACTGCTATGTTGCGCACGACATGCAGTAATAAGGTTCTGGACACCGTTGGTTGTTGGAAACATGTCGGGCCTCAAAGAACAGATCTTACCGTGTCACTCATGTCCCTCCATCACACTCGCGAACGTGAGGCGCAAGAGTGATCCCGAATACTGGGTCGCTACCTTGGCTCCTGATAGCCGCTCGCCTCCGGGACTTTGCCTGCATTGGTCGCCAAGGGCTGGGATGCCGAGATGATGATACCCAGCATCCAATCCCGATCGATCTTTCCTCGTGCGCAACCGGCCGAGCCCTGACCGAACCGTGCCGTGCCTGTATATAGAGAGCAACAAGTATGCAGTACGGCCCTACTGTACATACATAAAACGAAGAGGTCGGAATTCCCGCAGCCCGCTCCCACCGGGTATTTGGGGCTGTACGGGAGAGGGCGAGTCTGTCGTAAGACTCTCGGTGCTTCTCGCGTCAGAGATTTACAGCGCGCAGTAGACAAGATCACGTTAATATGTATTTGGCTCGCTTCACTCGTGGAAGTATTTGTGAGTTGCATCGGCGTGGTCTGATTGTTAGCTCGCAATGCTGTCCTCGAGTCCTGACACGCGCGGCCAGCGGCCCGGGCTGACTCAAGCTTTTCCCTGCGCTAAAGGCCTGAAGTCTCCAGAAGCCCACCAGCCGTCCCGTCGGCGCCACTCACCCCACACCATCATTCAGAACAATCTTTCATTTCACATGTACCACTCCACCGTCCCCATCTTCGATCTTCGCATCGTATCTCTGGCTGCATTCCACGCATGGCAGTTTCACGAAGATGTTGCAGATCAACATGTCGCTGTGTCATCATGCTTGCAGTCGCCAAAGACGATGTTCTCATCCGGTTAAAGCTCCGACGCAGGAGAAATGCAGTCGAGCAGCCATCCCACGCGAGGGCTTCCCGACCCGTCAGGATCCTAGACTAACGGCAGTTCTGCGGCGCAAGCCGGTGCGCAAGCCGGTCCTTCTGTGACTGCCATTTCTCTGCGCATAAGCGAAGGGCATCTAGATCCTACAATACGTGCTGCGGAGCATACTGAACCTGTCCAGTGCGTCCAGAGAGTCCCACTGCCACATGAAAACCTGCGAACACGCGAACAAGCTCGTAGCATGCGCCAGGCCCCCGGTCTCCAATCTGATCCTCAGATCCTTTGATTCCCAACATTACGTACCAGATACCCTGCAGTATCGCCAAGCGAACGAGACAGCTGAGCACGTTTGCTCCACCCAGCGCCACCCTCTCGAATGGGATAGTCCGTCCCGCAGCAGACATCGGAACCACCCTGTCGAATTTCTTTTCTTCTGATTACTGGTTACCGACTACACTCCTCCATCTACTTGTGGCATGCACGCATCGCGACGATGAACGACAGCATGATGAAGGGTCCTTCGGAGGCGATCGACTCTCCCAACAGCATCGAGCTGGCAAACCAGACTGCCGTGGGTGAAAAGCATGGCACGCAAAGTGATGAGAGCGATATGGACCGCATGGGCAAGCTGCAGGAGTTGAGGGTATGTTGAAAACGCCCGCCGGAGAGGTTCCGATATACTGACAAGAGATCAGCGGCAATTCAAGTTCTTGACCATCTTCGGCTTTGCTGTACTCCTTGGCAGTACATGGGAATACGCATTGATGTATGTTACTGTTCCTCGAAGACGAAGAAGACTGCTGACGTTTCTGTAGTGGTATCGGAATCTCACTCTACAATGGAGGAGCTGCCGGTGGTATCTGGTTACTTGTCGTTGTCTGCTTCGGCATGTTCTTCGTCACGCTTTCATTGGCAGAGATGGTGTCCATGTAAGTGATTGTGAAACTGATAAGACATCAATGCGTCTCACTAACACAAACGTAGGGCTCCAACAGCTGGTGGGCAATATCATTGGATATCAGAATTGGCTCCAAGGAAATATCAAAAGATACTCAGCTACATCACCGGTATGCTACCTCTGGTTGAACGCAGCATGTATGCAGTACTGACCGAACCATTCAGGATGGCTGTGTGTCATCGCATGGCAAACAGGTATGGCTGGTACGGCCTTTGCGGTCGCCGATCAGTTCACAGCTCTGATCGTGCTGAACAAGCCGTCCTATGTTATCCAAGGCTGGCATAGTACCCTTCTGTCCATCGCCATCACCACGTTCTCGATCCTGTGCAACACTGTTCTCGTCAGGAAACTTCCCCTGTTGGAAGGCTTCGGACTCGTCCTCCATGTGTTCGGATTCTTCGCCTTCGTCGTCGTACTCTGGGTTATGGGCGAGCGCTCGGATGTCACAACCACATGGACCCATTTCGAAGACCCCAGTGGCTGGGGTAATACAGGTCTCGCGACTCTCGTCGGTATTCTTGGTCCCATCCTTACTCTTGGAGACCCTGACTTGGCCGTCCATCTCGCTGAGGAGGTCAAGGATGCTGCGTGGGTCAGTCCTCGAGCCATGGTCTCCACGGCTGTTGTGAACTACTCATTGGCTTTCATCATGACCGTCACTGTCTTCTCCACTCTCGGCAACGACCTCGACACGCTTCTCGCCACCCCGCTTGGCCAGCCATGGATCCAGATCTTGTTGAATGCGACGGGATCTATTGTGGCCACCAACATCCTGGTGGTACTCATCTGCTCATTGCTCATGTTCAGCTCGGTCAACCAGGTGACAGCTTCATCCCGTCAACTCTGGTCCTTCGCCCGTGATCAAGGTCTCCCATTCTCCAACTGGTTCGCTTACGTACGTTCATCCTTCCCGCTTCCTGATCCTTTCGCTAATCACGATCCTAGGTACCACCAGGCTGGGACATCCCCGTCAATTCCGTCATCGCAACCCTCGTAGGAACCGCGCTCCTGAGTTTGATCAACATCGGCTCGGCCATCGCCTTCAACATCGTCATCGCTCTCGGAGGTCTTGGTATCTTCACTGCCAACATCATCGTCATCGGCTGCATGATCAGGAAGCGAGTCCTCGGAGAACCACTCCTTCCGTCCAAATTCGACCTTGGCAAGGCGGGCCTTTACATCAACATCATTGCTATTACATACCTCTCTCTGGCTATCGTGTTGATTTGCTTCCCCGAGGTCCCAAACCCGTCTTTGGCAGATATGAACTGGTCCATAGTCATGTTCGCGGTACTTGTCGTCTTTGCCATGGGTTACTACTACGTAATCGGGAAGGACAAGTACGATGGACCTGTCGAGTACGTCAAGCGTCAATGAACGCTTCCAAAATTCTCGGGATATTGATCTACGTAGCCCCGTAACCTTCATACCTATATCTTTGTACATATATACCTTCTGTTTATCTAGACTTCTTTCCTAATCGAAAACCACTCCAAAACAACTCCTGCATGCCAAAAGGTTTCCTTCGCTCAGTGGCGCCACGCCGCCGCACACCCAACTTCAACACCCACCACGTAACCCCAGAATAAGCGCACGCGTATACCAGTATCGAAACCCAAATTATAAGAATGGTCAACCACACCAACCTACCTACTAAATCCAAGAGCACGTTGTCGGATCCAATCGAGAAGTAAAGTCGTATCGCACGACCCATGAGCTCTACCCCAAGGCCTACCACGAAAACACGGATGCTTGCGTATATATCACGCCGAGACACCGGGTCCATGAACGTGAAGAAAGAAGCCTTGGTTAGCACGTAAACGTCCTCGTCTGTGAGGGCGCCCTTAGCTAGCGCTTCCACGGCACACAGTGCGCGCCTGCGCCATTTGAGGGGGGTGAGAATCTCAAGGTGGAAGTCGTGGTGGTGGTCTATGTGAGTTATCCATGTGGTATGCACCAACCAACGGAGGAACTTGACTTCAAGACTAGCGTCTGAGGCTGAGGCTTTCAGCGTGGGAGGGAGATGGTGGGACCAGTATGGGCACGATTGGGGTGCGCGGTTGATCCATTCGGTGAAGCATGAGTGGCCGATGATGTGGCCGCAGGGATGGAGTCGGATTGCTTGGCAGCCTGAGGGGTCGTGTGGGGAGTAGGGTGTTTTGCAGATGAAGCATTCGGCTTCGGGGTCTGGGTTTGGGAGTGTGGTGTAGGTGTAGGTGTATTGGTCATTGAAGACGTTGCTGAGTCGGTAGCGGGACATGATTGCGGGTTGCAACGGTGCAGGTGTTGATGGTTTGTGTGTGCAGTTGCGTCGTGGTAGTTGGTCAAGGCAACCTAGGTGGAGTTGTCGAGGTACGTGAGAGGGTAGTGTATCTGATCAATGATCTAGGCATGCACTGTGAACTAATATGCTATAGGCAGGGAAACCAGTGAATTGCATGCATGATTATAGTGAAGATTGCTGACAGGTTCGCTGGCTTCAAAGCTACTAGAGTATATCGATCTATCGTTGGGTCTGAATGCCAGTCATTATTCTATTAGTATACATATCCATGGGCCCCATTATGTCCTGAACGAACACAATCCTCGCAGTCAGATCCGTAGCATTCTCCTACATGTCTAATACAGAGTAACCTCCGCGACCCATGCCAGTAACGGACCCAACGAAGTACAATCCACGTCCCCTGACTCTTGTCCGAATTCAGGATTCCACCCATGGACACGTCCAACCTGACCACCACGGCGAAGACCGCCAACATCTGGCCCAATCATTCTGGCAAAGCACATATTGGCTGACTGCTCCATGGAAGCCGGACCCTTGTGGCTGCGCGACTGACCCTGGGACACTGGATCATACTCGATGCACAAACCCTTTGTAAGGTCCCGGTTCTCGCCGCGATCACCCTGGCCGCGGTCATCCTGCACCACACGGTGATCTGTTATGAACGAGTCCGCTGACGAAGGTGATCCTGGAACATACTGCGCTAGATCGTCAGGATTGGGTTTCCAGGTGAGACTCTCTCCGTCCATGAGAAGCCAGATGAATCGTGGTTTGGGCTCATCGGCAGGGAAATATAGGGCTCGAAAGTGTTTTTCGCTTGGCCGGTTTTGAAAGTCCTTGAAAGTGCTGCAGATGGTATTATGCTGCGGCGCGTCTTCTTGTCGACATTTATCGGAGCAGTAGCCGATATTGCCGCATCCAGTACATGCGGTAGTCCATTTCTTCATGCATATGGCGCAACCGTCGACTTCATCGGTCCTATGGCAGTCTTCGCTTTTAGATGTCATCTTACCTTGGAGTGTCTGTTGTAGACTGGATGCGTAAGGAAGTTGATAGATATAGGAACAACTAATGTTTGCTATCAGCGTCGCGTGACGAGCCGTGTGATGAATCCACGGACGCACGCCAACCAAAAAAAAACTAAACAGGCCTGCAGCCTACATCAACTTAAAACCCTACAAGATAGATAACTTAGCGTTGATGTAGGCTCTAGACCTGTTCAATCTTTTCCTTGTATGAGGTGGATGCATCGGCTTGCTTGTCCAGCTGGGTCAGCCCAAAAGAGCAAAAAAAGAGGAAAAGGGCAGAAAGAGAGGCATGGGTTCGAGAGTCCCCATTTCAGATCTGAGGCAAAAAAGAGCAAAAACATACAACAGCGGGGATTCGCTAGTGGTCACCCACCTAACTACTAATCCGCCGGTATCATGCTTGTATATGGCTGAGCGGACGGGAAGCCTAATTCTCATGATCCTATGGTCGTATGTATCAGTTCAAGCAATCTGCAGCGTCATAAAGTTGTTTGAGGTGATGTGAGGAACCAAGTGGCTGAATCCAGTCGGCCATAAGATGAGGAACGCCATGCCAGCAACCACTGCACGTCATGCGCGAGATTATCAGAGCCGCTGATCAACGTCGTCTCTCATTTTATCGTCACTAATACACTTAGTACTACATCCCCGTATGTACACCCCTCAACTCATCCTACCCATGACCAAGAAGTTCAGTTCTTATCATCAGGACTAAAGTTAATCGACACGCCGTTGACACAGTGTCTCTCATCCTTGGGGTTACCAAACCTCTCGCCCTTGAAGATATGTCCCAAGTGACCCCCGCAGTTGTTGCAGACAATCTCCGTCCTCATCATGCCAAGACCAGGGTCAGGCTTCTGTCCCACCGCGCCAGGAACAGCGTCCCAGAACGCAGGCCACCCGCAGCCAGAGTCGAATTTGTGGTTTGCCTTGTAGAGGGGCGCTTCGCAACCGGTGCACTTGTAGACGCCGGCGTCGGGGTAGTGCTTGTCGAGTTTGCTGGAGCCGGGCATTTCAGTGCCTTTCTTGCGGAGGATGCGGAATTGCTCTATCGTGGTGTTAGTGGCTATGCGCTGATGGTTGGGACGGGTGGTATCGTACCAGGCGATAGCTGTGCTTGCCACTCGCCCTCGGGCTTCTGAACCGGGTAGTTTGTGTTGTCCGCCATGCTGCTAGAAGTTCCGAAAAGGGCGCCCAAGAAGGGGATATTTGGCATCGAACGGTATATGACAGCGCGCTGTGGCGTGTTGTAGATAGTGCGACCAAGCGTGCTAGCGGGACTCGATCGGATGAAAGCGCTTGTTGTGTTGGTGACCGTGTGGAAGGCGCGGAGGAATGTTGGGAAGGAAGGGAAGCGCATATGGATTCGTTTTACAGGAAGGTGGTGGATGTTGTTCTAGTGGAGTAATTGTTCTTCGGCGGATTGGAGATGATGCGGAGGGGTGGCGGAGAGCTTCCGCCACCGAAGCTTTGACAAATCGAGTGCATGGCGTCATCAATGTCGCGCACCATCAACACCATATTCCTTCCGATATCCTGATTATCGCGACTTCATACCTGCCTAGGTAGAGTGTCTTCTCGTGGCTGATGTCAGATCTAGTACCTTGTGAAGCCTGAGATCATACTGGGTCGACTTGTTGCCGCGACTCGGGGTTCTCGGCGCGTCCATCACGGCCTATCATCGCATATGTTCCTTTCGCATTCGGGTGTTCGGCACTGGCAGGTGGCAGGATGCATCGATGATACGATGCTGACTGCAGATGTGGGCCAAGGCTGACTCCAGCTCGCTACAGCTGCAAGGTAGCATAAATCGCGAACATTGTGTTGCCTATACATGAGCACCGCCAGATTCCTGTTTTTGTACCCTGTAAACAGTCAACGTACCTCGAACCTAACGCACGCTGAGATTGCGCGTATGCGCTCTCCACGCGATGGACTCCAAGGACAAGGAAAGCGAGAAAGCGAAGGAGATTGCGACATCGACCCCAACATCGTCGGGCACAAAACCGAGTCCAGACCCAGACCTACCAATATCCTACGAGCCCAAGCCTTCACGTAGGCCACCGCCGCAATATGGCAAAACCGCAACTGGAGCACCCGTCAATCCCCAGACTGCTTCTGCGCTCGCACAGTCGCGTCACAAAGGCAGTGGCGTCCCCGCATCAACCCTCGCTGCCCTCATGGCAGAGCCCGAGCCTGAGTCGGACGTCAAGGAAAAGAGATCGCTGCGCGAGCGCTGGAAAGACTGGAAGGAGAGGAAGTCACATGACAAGAATGACGAAGAACCGGCATGGCAGATGCGCGGAAGCTCCACGCAATGGAATGTTTTTGGTTCACCTGTGAGCGAGGGGAAGATAGAGAAGGGTAGGAGTTGGAAATAGGCGTATCGAGTCGGAGAAATCTTGGTAAGTTGTCTTAAATGAGTGAGGGGAGGCAGATGCTAACGAGAGGATGTAGGAGGGGTAGAAGCCGAATGATTAGGGCATGAACCATGATGGCCGATGGTACATCTACGTTAACCTAGGGAAAAGCTGAATAGGTCTAGAGCCTACATTGACGTTAGGGCACGTACTTTGCAGGTTTCTATGTTAATGTAGGCTGCAGACCTGTTTAGTTTTTCCCTTGTATGAGGCGCATTATCGCTCCTTCAACGGCATCATCGAATTTAGCTACACAACTCCTCATCTGCGATCTCATCATCGCGCTTTCTCTTGCTCAAATTACAACGTCACAACCCCACAACCCACCAAGTCGCTTTACTTGAACTGTCCCTCAACATCCCCCATCGGCCCCAACGCCATCTCAACCGCCCTCTTCGTCGCCCCATCCAAATCCTCCTTCTCCGTCCCCAACACCCCATTATCCAAACCCCCGCTAGTCTCATAATCAGCCCCCTCACTCCTCCAAACCCCCACATAAAGCGCCTTCGCAAACCCCAACATCTTCCCCTCTCCCAACTCCCTCATCCCCTCCCCAAACCTCTTCTCCACATCCTCATATCTGATCGTCCAATCCGCATCTCGCGTCCCGAGCACCCGGTGTAAACTATCCAGGATATCGCGTTGGGA